TCTTCAGGGGTAGTTTGTCGTGCCAGAATCTACAACATTTGATGTATTGATTGTCAATATGTTTGTGTTAAATAACTGAATGGGTTCCAAATAATGTAATTGTTGATTAATCTTGTTTGTGTCCAGACATTCTTCAACTTATAATCGTCAACCTGAGGACGGTTGCAGGCGTACTGGTGTAAGTCCTGCGATTCTTCAAAGGAATTGCATCAAGACATGATCTGCGATAATATGCGTATTGTTTGTATATATGTGTGGTGTTTTATATCATTTAGTGTTTTTGGATTCATTGTGTTTACTTGTTGTTTTCGTGTCTTGTTGTTATGCATAATTTTGGTGAAACTTTCGTTGTGCTTTCCTCTGAGGTTGTTTCGCGTCTTCCACATCCGTGAATGAATTGCGGCTGCTTTTATTTCTACGTCACGTTCAGATTGTACAGAACCTTTGTTCAACTCGGCAGTAGTAGGCATTCCCCTCATCTCAAGTTTGCACCTCCGCTACTCAACAAGGCTGCTTACATTTCAGAAAGTTTCCACAGACGAACGACAAAATGGGTGATCGGCCTCCGCAACAAATCATATTAGGAACGACTAAATAAATTATGTCTTTTCACATATAGTTACCATCGGCACAGGGGAGACCTCATCACAATCTACCAGATCCTAAATGACCAGGCCCACCCAAATAAAAGCATCCTGCCATTTAGTGATTATAGGCTTCCACGAGGTAACCCGCTAAGGATAGCAAACCAGAGACCAAAGACTCGAGTGCGATCACATTTCTCTTCGCTCCGTGTTTGCCGTCTTTGGAACGCTTTACCGGCGGCCGTGACTACAGCGCCATCTTTGGAGATTTTGAAACGGAAGCTAGACAATCATGCAGAAATGCAAGGTTTGTGTCTCAATGGCTTATCCTCATAAAACTTAAAACCAAACTGTCAATGGATAAGCGTACAAACTAAATCCCCATGACCTGCTCTGCATTCTCTCACTCTATCTTTTTTAGGTCAGATTAACGGTTTACGAGACGTGACTGACAACCTATATACAAAACAACACACCAAGTACCATGGACTGAGCTTCGACGCACTACCCTTGAAGAATTGTAGGACTTACAGCAGTACGCCTACAACCCTTCTCAGATTGACACCCTTAATTTGGAAAATCGTCGCAGAGTTCATTTGCTGACCTTCTATCATCTATATACTCAACTCTGAACGGTGACATGCCCATGTCATTGTATCGTGGAATGTAGATGACTAACAAACACACGACGTGTCTGATCAACCAAGCGTAGGCACAGAGTAATTTACACCAAAGATAATAACATTCAAATGGTAATTTGAAACTTGAAATGCTTTTATTCGTGTAAGTCAGTTTAACAATTACCCTCTCATACACACCTGGCTTATCATCACTAAACTGACCGTTGAATTTCGTTCTTTCAAACGGACTGATACTAGCATGGTCACAGCATAAAATACGCGAGTTCATGGACGCCCCTTTCATCATGGATGACAACACCGACAACGATTGTGCGACACAAGTCGATGAACCTAGCGGTGCATCAGAAGATGTTGTTGTTCGGCTTTTAGAGGGTTGTCTAACTGCAAGATTACTACCACTGCTGTCTTTTACTGTTAGCTCCGGTTTAGCACTAGCATCTGATGATAGGTGGGCTACACGTTGATCAATTACACTGATGGTCTCATGAGTATCCATACCTTCTACCACTGCGCCTGCCTTTAATTCTACGTCACGTTCAGATTGTGCAGAACCTTGGTTCAACTCGGCAGTAGTAGGCATTCCCCTCCTCTCATCATGATCAACCAAAGACAGATCTGCACTATCATGACCACTGTCAAAAGTATCCACTTTACCTCCGTTTGTATGTTCAACTTCATCATTTTGAAACTCTTCAATAACATCAGTGGATAATTTGGGTCCTTCCTCACAAATCCTTAAAGGTTTTATACCTTCACTCTGACTAGTAATACCTTGTAAACTTGTGGAGTCAGAACTGCCCCTTGAGACTGTAACTCTCTTCTCCTGCACAAACTGCAGTGTCGTCTGTGACACTATTCAACAATGGCTTACCAGTTGCAACTGCAGGCTTCTTCACCGCACCATTATCGTTACACGGTTCGGAGTCAGACCTTGATGACGCTGATTTCACATTTAACTTACTACTAAACTTGCCCACTGATTCGCAGTTCACCTTTGTATGCACTTCTTGCAAACGTGTAAAACAACCGTGTCTGTCTCGTAACTTGTAACCTATCTGTTGGGGATGTCCCACGAAAGCTGTTACACTCACTGAGTTTATATGGATTACTAGACACCATAAAGCTTTCTCGACATCCATTTCTCTGATACCCTTTCGTCATTAATTTTTGCGTTTTTCTCTCTGATTTCTCTATTCCTTGCGTGGGATTCATTGCACCAGCAAACTTGCTCACAGGTTGATTGACGCTATTTTTTTCCAGTTTCGGAATAGCATCGAACTTTGGCTGAATAATTGCATTCTCTATACTGGAGGTTGTTTCCACCCACTTCCTTTTCAGTCATGTAGATGGGCGTCTCTCTATTACTTGTCGAACTTAACTTGAGTTGTGATCTCTCATGCAATCCCTCGAAATGAGCGAGTTCTTGTAACTCAACAGATTATCCAAAAACTAAGACAGTGCCTTGCAGTTATCTTGTAATTGACTAACATTAACTTTAACAGCCTCGAATAATTTCCCCACAATCATCGAAGTTCTTCCAAACCTCTGACGCAGTATACTCGTAGCCTCAGAGTATCCTTCGTTGGGGGGCATTTACTTACAGCACTGTGTAGCTCTTGAAGCATCTCTTGTGCAGCACCTCATCAAAAACATCAACTTCATTTCATCATTTAATAAAAAACTACTCAGCATGATATTATTCGTCTTAACAAATTGTCAGTTGAGTTTCCGTTGAAACACCGAGGTTCAAATTTAAGCCTTTTACCCCTAGACTGCGAAACACGAGCAACAAACTCATCATGCTGAGCATCATACACATCATTAAGATTAACAAGCAACACAGTATCACTTACTTTCCTGTTTGCTTCCAAGACACTCCGTCGCTTCTTTGACGCAGGCATCATTGAACGTGACCCAAATTCCAGAAAAGTTCCAGATAATGCTTGTTCAAAAAAGACTGGCGGGCACCAGGAAAGATGTCCTGTAACTATCCAAACACTGTCAGAAACTGTCAGTCAAGTCTCGTAAACCGTTAATGTCCAGCACTTGCTACGCTGGGCCTCACGCTCCCCCTCGAAGATTTTCAGAAACCATTAGTATTAACCGATGCAAAAAACAAAACACTGTTTCGCGACTCAGGAATTCTTTATTCTAATGCCAACATATAACCAGCAATACTGGCATTACAGACTAAGGTCTAAGAACAATTATTACAAAAATGAATCACGATATTACTTCTGACAGTTTTTTAATCTTCCTTCTGTCCAGCGATCAATGAGACGATAACTGGTGGATTGACGACTCCCGCGAAAAATATAGAGGAGTTGGGTTTGAGCAAACAACCATGAATTGATCATTCAATCTTCAGCTACATTGACACGGTATAGAAATAAACAGAATATACGTAAAAGATTAGCATATTTGTCTCGTATTTGCAAAAAACTTTATGTTTGATTGGTTTTGATGAATAAAATTAGGTGCAGGAGTGTTTTGTGGATAACCCACATGCATATTCTAGGAATATCTATTTCAGTGACATTTTCTGCGATGGGGAGCATTCCATCATCAGTGATCGGTTCCACGACCAGCTGTGATGGATGTGATGATTTGTACTGATACATATATTTCATTATCGTTGCTTACTATCCAGTGTAATTGCACACTCCTGTAGGTGAATATATACGTCAACTTTCACCCGTGGAGTCACTTATTTCCCATCACGACTGCTTGAAATGATTGACAAACGAGAGGGAACCATAGTAAATTCATTATGTTCACCCTGCGCCATGGTATCACACATAAAACTCAAAGCAGTTAGCGTTAAATACAACTGCATCACCTCATTAACTTCTCATAAGCTTCCTACCGCTGGTGCATCGCTATAACAATGGTGACTGAGTATTATGGACACTAAATATCTACCAATCCCCGCCATTTCCTCATCAAATCGTCCAGTATCCTCCATGGTTAGTTGATTTACATTTGAAGCAAATGACGTTGTAGGATGTTGCAAATAGAGAAAGCAGTGCTGTAACTAAAACCCACTTATTGTGCCGATTTTTGCGCACTACTCTATGGCTGTCCTTGAGAAAAGTTGTCAAAAACGCTTCCAGGGTGAAAAGCTGTCCATTCATCGATAAAATTATGTGGTTCCATTCAACAGTAAAAACATCAGGAACTGAAAATCACCCCAACAGTCATAAAAGGCTGCCGTGCAGACTAGTTAATTGTATAATTTCAAAGCAAGGACTTAGAATCAAGTTGAATATTCCCCACAAGGTAGAACCAAAAACTCTGTCCACAAGAAGCGCAAACTAATGCTTCCCATACACAGTACCAGGTCAGGGTGACACTGATTCACTTGGAAATCGGCACATTATCAGTATGTCAAACGACCATAAAGGGAAGCATCAAAATTCAAGGCTAAATAGCGAAAAAGAAAAATAATAGGGACGAAGTCAGGATATTGTATGCAAACGACAGAAAAATGATATACAGCCTAAGAGAAAGGGGGATAATAATTACGAAGTCAGTTGAAACATCCAAATGAATGTGAATATTGTTATTAGGCTGTTTACAAGGGATTTTTCAAACGATTATTCCGTCACAAGCAATAGAAGTAGGTTAATTAAGGCATCAAGATCAACCGCAGGCCAAGCAATAGTAGTAACAAAACGAACCACAATATGAAAATATTAAACTGCCATTACAGGTCAGTACGCAGTATAACGTAAAGTAACAAAAACACTTCATAATCTTTAGCGCCATTCCTGGTCTCATCTTTCACACAATCGTACTAGAGTTTTCAATATGTTTTCGCACTAGTAGACATTCTGTATTGTTGGTGAAGAAAGATTTGACTGTACTGAAGAAACTGAAAAAAATGATGGCCATAATTTTATGTATATTTCAGCAGGCATTTTCGCTTTACACGAGTTACTATGAAGTGTCTGTTTACTATGTATCCGACTGTGCGTTTGTCATTGAACAAGACACATAGTTCCCGGCTGTTTAGTGTGTACGCTTCTTCACTCCTGGTCTGTTTTTCCAACTTATGTAACTGAATTTAGTCCGTGCCTTTGAATTAACTCAGTTATAAGACAATACTATTGCCCCAGATAACATAAAACTACTTTAAAACAGTCAGTTGCAATATATATATATATATATATATATATATATATATATATATATATATATATATATATATATATATATATATATATATATATGCTATAGCATATACGTACAGTGGTTGTTTAGTGAAACAATACTCTTTTTTCGTATTAACTGTGTAATTTCAGCACTGAGTATGTGTTCATTAAAGATTTCAGATTTATTGGTCGAGGATAGAAGGCTTGGAGCTTATGTTAAACCTTTCTAGTAAATTTCTGTGGTTGTTGAAACTCTTGAATAAATCAGTCGAGGTTGCAGACAACACTTATCCTGGGATTCGGTTCCAAGAGTTTATGACTCGGTGTGAGAACCAGTACTCAACAGCAATATTTCTTCTTGACTTTTGAACTCTCGTGCTATGTGCTCTAAAGTGTTACGACCTGTTGGGAAGGGAAAGAGAGAATAGGTCAAGTCCGTAGTCATTATTTAAAATTTTGAACATTGTGATTAAATCTCGTCTCTGCCTACGGTATGACAGGGAGAAGAGATTTAAACTGTCCAGTCTTTCCTCGTATGATAAGCTAGTCATGTGTTGCCTTAACTATACGAAAACCATACGTGTTGCCTTCCTTTGAACCCTTTCTAGAATGTGTGAGTCCCCTTTAAGACGAAGACTGGCTGCCTGGATACAGTTTTTCAGTCTTGACCTCACCAGAGATGTATATAAACAGGTGAACGTATCTCTGGTGATTCTAGTAAAGCCTCTGCTAATTGCCAATAAGGACATGAAGCTATGTGCAGCCGCCGCGCGACAGTGTGCTGCAGTTTTTATGTCGTGGCTAACTATGACACCTAAGTCCAAGTGAGTCTGAACTGATGGAAGTGTTATTCCCTCTAGTTCGTAGGAGCTTGTGTTTGCTTGTTCGATGCACCTGGCTGCACATTTTGCCACACTAATCGGGAGCATCCATTCTCTGGACCACTCTGACAATTTGTTTACGCCATCTTGCAACGTGAACGCCTCACTGTTTCCCTTCAGCTCTCTCCAAATTTTTAAGTCATTTGCGTATAGGACCATAGAAGAGTCAGTGAGTAGAGATAACTTATTGATATACAAAATAAATAGGAGAGGTTCAATTACCGTGCCTTGTGGCACTCCGCTACGTACTGCTGTCCAAGAGGAGAGTTGCGAGTTGATCCGAACTCTCTGCCTCCTATCTATGAGGAATTCCTTGAGCCAGTTTAGTAATCTGCCTTTGGTACCAAGACTTTCCAACTTCATGAATAGTCTTTTGTGAGGTTCTTTATCAAAGGCTTTGCTGAAATTTATGAAGACGACGTCAACGGATCTTCTGTTGTCCCTTGACTTGCCCCAGCTTCCTCTTGCACTGAGAAGATCTGACAGTCATGAGAAGTTTCTTCGGAAGCCGTGCTGTGCTCTGGATAACATTTTGTTATTTCCCAGATATGCCATGATGCTTTTCTTGTTGATTCTTTCCACTGTCTTGATTAAATTGCTGGTGAGACTAATAGGCCTGTAATTTAAAGGGCTTTGTCTTGATCCTCCTTTGTGAATGGGGGTCATTATGGTGTCTTCCCAGTCACGCGGTAACACTCCATTTAGGAGAGTTAGCTTGAAGATCGTGGTCAAAGGGCCGGCTATGTGATCTGACAGCTTCTTGAGAAGCCTTGGATAAAGATTATCAGGACCCATTGATTTCTCTGCATCTGGTTTCATTAGGCATTGTGAATGTATTGTTTGGCATTCGTTCAGCGTTATTTTCATAATAGTAGCTGCAGCTTTGGGCGTAAGACATCCATTCTTCAACTTAGCGAGATATCGCTCTTTCGAGCGTCGGTAATAGACAACGCATCCATTTATGAAAACGGTCTGGTAGAACGTATCGTTTCTGAATGCTATTCAGTGCAGCTTAAATGGCATTACTCTTCAGTAACATTCCCTAGTTACCCGTCCACTCTATAACATTTGTTGTTATTTAAAAAATTTCATGTACGGTACCGATTTGAATGTTCAGTCGATTAATTAAATCAAAGCAAAAGTTTAGGCTGTGACTGGAATTGATTTTTCTCATGTCCTTGTTTCACGTTGCGAAATTATGCATAATAAACTGATTGATATGTAAGTTCTTGAGTCCTCCAGGTTTAGACATGAATCATATTTCAGAAGATTGGACATTAACCAATAAAACATGCCTTCTATAAACAAGAAAATAACAGTAGCAAAACATCTTTTAGCACCTGATTGCATGTCTTAATCATGGCGTGACGTGTCTCTGTGAAGTTCGACTTTTTGCTAATCAGTAACTACCAAAGCATCAGCCCCCAGTAGATCCAGGTAGCGAGTCACTGTATTTGACTGCCCTGTTAGAGAGTCTGAGTAATAGACACACCTTTACATTTACAGCTCGTAAACACATTGGCAATATAAAGTGTAGTGTTGTCCCCCTATGTTAGGAGAATTGTAGGTTTAAAGTCACACCCGGAAATTAAATGCTATACGTGTAACCTTAAGAAAGTTTCCAGTCATAATATGTAGATGTAGAAGTATATGTGGTGACCAGAATTTTTAGTTTTCTTTTTTGAGCAGATGTAATACTTAGCGACACAGAAATATTTAGTTAGCAAATAACTGTGCACTAGTTCATCACGCAAGGTTTATATTTTTATTCATTTTTATTACAATTGTAAACACTTAGCATTGGAATTCTAACTGCAAAAGTATACTTTAAGTTTTGTCGACGGTCATGATATTTGGATGAAAATGGCCTATGACTCTCGCAGCGTAATATGAAAAGTATGCTATGAACATGGAACTATATAGTGCTTTTAGAATAGTACGAATGCTCAATGTACTGGACTGTTTATCTCAGAATATGATGTAGCCTGTCAACTTAAGGCGAAGTAGGTGGTTTAAGTAACATGTCATAATAACTTAGACTTCAATGTCTGGTCTGGTGTTTAACTCATTCACATCATCACTACGGAGTAGTTTAACTACCAATGGTACATATATTTAGATGGGACACGTATATAATTCCTGTGTAACCAGTGTCCGTTTCTTCTATCGAGTATATAATATGTTAAGAATGTTGTGCTTCTCATCATTTCTAAAAAAAATTAGTAGTTATAAGTGTGTACTTCATACAAAAATAAACTTTCTTGAATGACTTATCTTTTACGTTTGATACCGTCACCATTTTTCCCCACTATATTTTTAGTCATTCGAATCACCTTCATCTGCAGCACATTATAAATCAGCGAAGTCGTCAATCACTTGTTAATTATACCGTACAAATATGTTACTTGAAGATATCATCAGTCCAATAATTCCTAAAGAATGCTTCTACAAATATACAAAACATGGTGAATTTTTCGATGGTAATTCGATCTGTTCATTAGTATTTCATCCTGATATCTACTTTTTTTAAAAAATAGTTCTTTGTTTTAAGATAATTTTAAGTAAAGTATTAGGATATGGTATTATAGTTGGTTCTTCGCTTGGTAAGTCTTCTGTTTATATTCAGCCAGAATAATTCTAGTCTGTTAATAATTAAAAAAAAAAACAAAAAAATAATAAAAGTAAAAATTCCGCAAGTATTAAAAGTTGCAAAAAGTAAAAATGCTTATGGATTAAGCATACTGTCTATCCTACTGGAATTAATTTCATTCACATCGGTTAGCGTATATTCATTGGCTAATGGATTTCCATTCAGGTAAGTGGTTTTTTCTTTAAAAATCATAGTTTTCTTTTCGTTTTTTCTAAATAAAAAATTTAGTTTATAAGATTCGTGATAATTTCTTAATGGTATTGATTGATCGGTACGAGATGTTGGGTACCAGTCACATCAACTAGTAGTGCTTGTCAACCGGCCTGACCAAAGTGACGTTCATTTGCAACCGCTAGCTGACCAGCCATAATCAAGATGGTTTGAATTGATTTACCTTTTGTGAGCTGAGTCAAACCGGGTTCATCACTGATGTTGATTGACCCGAAGCGAGTGAAACGACGCTCTTTTCGTTCAGACTACTTCAATCTAGCTGGTTGGGAAGCACAACTGGTTGGATATGAATGTTATCAGTGTCTGTAAGTATGGTATATACTTTGCGCCGTCTAAGTGCAAAGTGCTGTTACAATATTGACAGGAGCCTGTACCTGCACTCACTCTTGCAGGTGAACCGCTTGAAGTTGTTGATAAGTTTGTGTATCTGGGTAGTTGTGTGAGTGCTGGCGGAGGGGTGACGGATGAGATTTTCAACCGTATAGTGAAGGCTAGGGTGGCATACATTAACTTCAGCCACCTCTGGCGCCGTCACGACGTCGAAGGTTGGGTATACAATGCTTCGGTAGGGGCTGTTTTGCTCTACATCTGTGAAACCTGGCCTCCCCGAGCTGAGGATGTGTGGTAGCCCTGCGCGTTCGATCATCGCTGTCTCCGCAGGATTGCTTGCATTCGATGGCACCGTCCCGTGAGTAATTCTAAGGCGCATGTTTGGACACAGTGGACGTCAACACTCATCAAGTGTCGTAAACTGGAAATACCGGTTTCGGTGGCTTGAGCATCTGCTACGAATGTCATCCCAGAGGCTTCCGTACAGGTCTCTGTTCGCTAGCCCTGGGACGGGATGGAAAAGGCGGTCGGGTGGTCAGTCCATGACGTGGCGTCGTGGGATGAAGGATTTCTGTGCTAGATTAATATCGGTTGTTGCGTCACGACTCCCTGGTTGGGGTCCGTGAGATAGCTCGAATCGATGACTCGAAACGTAATCGGATATGGCCAAGAATCTTAATGGCGAACGTGTTGCAATTTCCTTCTTTCTTCCCTTCCCGATGGTAGTTGACGAATATTGTTCGAACTTGTTGAGTATGACTGTTTTCCTTCCAGATGAAATTCTTTATCCGTTCTCAACTTATATTTTTACTTTTGATCTATGTTGTTTTATTATTATTGTGTAGCGCATCCTTCTTCTTGGTGCCATATTGTACCAAGTTTTTGTTTTACGTTTAAATAAATAAATATCCAATTGCTTATATCAGTCAGTAGGTGGCATATAACATTATGCAATAATGTTTACCTTCTTGATCGCCGTTTATGGTATCAGGCAGGTCACATATATTGTGATCTGAGTAGAGTTTCAGTTTCCAAAGGAGACTGTGGTGAAATTTCACCACTCGAACTGTGCAACTTATAAATCTCGAATTTGACCCCTTGGATAACTATTTTTCTATATTCAGAGTAAATTTGTAATTTTGTTGGTATTAGTGATTAATTTCCGACTGTCGAATTCAGAGTCGAACTTCTCTTCGCCTACCGAGATTTGAACAGTCAAACAAAATTAGTATGTCTAATTGTGTGCAGGAGATTAAGATGTATGCTGTCATTATAATACAAGTCTATGAACCACCTAAGCTCATTGGCTTAGGCACGCAGATTTTAGCTAATGGGTCCCAGATTCGAATCCAACCACGTTGAAGCAGCGTGGCTGCACGACTGGGTTCTTGTACATAAAGTGTGGTTTATAGATTGGTACATCAAAAGAGATTTATTTCGAGTAACCGAGTTAGCGTAACATTGTGTGCATTGTGCTACTTCATATTCTTCTTTACAGCTATACTGTGGGTATGAAATAAACATTGCAGTAGTGTTATTTTATGAGAAAATAGTTTCTTAGTTTCGCTTTACATTTATGATCGGTCTTTCGACAATTTGTTCACCTAGCTTATTATTTTTCCTTACAAACCAACTACAGAAAATTAATCTGATGCTCGCTAGTGACCTGCTGCAGAATGGAGTTTCCTGGAGTTCTAGTGAAAAATCGTGACCAGTGAAGTCCATACAGTCACGTGTGAGAATGCCTGTCCCACCTACGACAGTGGTTGGGGTCTCGCTAAATCACGAATTCGTAGAAGTTGGAATTCATGGACTGGCTATTGAGTCGGGTCCCAGTGGCTGAGTGCTATACGAGCTTACCTTGTAACCGGGAGGTCTTGGGTTCGAACCCTTGTGGTGGGTGCGTGCTGCCGATGATTCCCAAACTAGGATGAAACAGCTCTCCAGTACTCCCGACTGGCTTTCAGTGGTTCTCTAACTGATATCAATCCGTGATCAACTCGTAAAAACAAAACTAATCCTTGCAAACCAACTATAAAAAATACATTTGTCTATTACAAAGCCATCGTGACACTTAAGAATATTGCTTCTAATAGTGACGTTGATGAAAGTAGATAATGATCCGAAGAACTCTATGCGCTTATGGAAGCGTGTGAGTGATAATTACTTCCAGGCCGTTGATGACATGGATAATGATTTCTTACTGGGGTACCTGAAACAGAAGGAGCATTAGTGTTACGTGACCAAACAACCATAAAGTAGGACAGAGTGAACTGCTGCTCAGTACACACGTCCTTTGATCAACAGCCAGAAGCCAAGTCTACACTAGAGATGACGTAAGTCAGCAAACGCCACACATGTCTTTTGTATTCGTTCTGAGTTTTCGTCGGCGGTCAGTCTATTGGGGCTGATGAAGTTTTCCAAACAAACGGAGTGGTCAGTATGTTCAACTACTTCACTCACTTTCCCTTAAACTGGGAGTCAGCGCAGACCGCCATTCTTACAGCATCATCTTATAGCTGAAAGGAACGAATCGTGTGGTGGACACTAGAAGACGTGTTTAAGGTGTTCAGAAGACTCTGAATTTTCCCACTGTTTCACCCATAAGGACGTCTGCTTATTCTTAATCACCGAGGCTGTACCTTAGCAAAAAGGTAAAAGCCCACCACCTATGTGTGACCTACATGATCATTCAATCATGCTGTGGAGAGGCTTAGTTTACAGTCTCGCGTATAAACTTGTAAAAATAGTGAATAGGTTGTGTCTGCGCTTTATTTAACATAGGGTATTTCTACTTTGCTTCTTCAATTACTTATTTATTCATAGTACTTATTCGCTTGGTTTTTTTGTACGCTTAGCTCTTATGGCGAAGGAATATTTCTGGGCATACAAAATTTCCTTTTGGCGGTTATGGCAATTACATGGATGCATTCACGGCTTAAAGCAGTCATTTTTTCATGTATTTACATGGCAGGATTAGCTGTCTTACTGTCGCCCACATTACCAATGTCAACTTTAGTATTTTTTCAAACAGCCAATCTACCGATTATGTTGTCATCGAAGGTTAGTAAAGTGTGTTAGGTGTGAAGAAAAGTTATTATTTGTGTGATTCAGTGATGTTATGATTTGTTGTTCAAAAACTTTGTGGTACAGTGATTATATGTGTTATAGCCATTATATATTAATATTGTGGATTCCAAGTGAATCATTAGGGCTTCTGCATCATACCACCATTTCACTCTGTTCTCTCTCTCTGTCTATAATCTTTTCTTTGCCTGGCTACTTAATCGCCCATTAGCCCATTTCTACCTCACACGATCTCCATGTTACGCTCAAGAAAACGGCCAACTCATTGTTTCTCACTTGGGTTCCACTCAAGAGCGTGGCGCATGATTTCACTCAACAATCTGCTTAGATTATTTCCAATCCATCTGCTACAGGACTGGACTATGTCAAACTCCTAGCTTAGTGATAGGGAGTGAAGTGATAGAACATGTTGACCACTTCACCTATTTGGGGAATTGTATCAGCACCAACGGACTGATTGGCGACGAAATCTCAGCACGGATCTAAAAAGCTCGAGCTACTTTCGCTAGCTTACACCATCTCTGGCGTAGGCGTTACATCCGGCTATCAACCAAAGGACGTGTGTACTGCTCAGCTGTTCGCTCCGTCTGTCTGTTTTCGACATAGAACTTTGCACAAATGTGCGGAAGTTCAAATCGCCACACTCCGTGTAGCACGCGAAGCAAGCGAAGAAAGTACAAGAAAAGCATAATAGAAACAGTGAGCAGAGGTGTGAGACAAAGGAAGAGTAATAACGAAGAACAAAACAGTTTCATTGGAGATCATAAGTCACAAGGAGTGGATGCATCTGCGCCACTGAGAACGATTTTGAGCCATGTCACCAATTGTTTCCAATCATTGATTTTTACCGTCTCGAGGACCCCAGCCTGGAAGTCTACACCTTCCTACGTGGCTTAGACCAACTGTTGTGGATTTCATTGACTGGTGCCAAGTTTTTGTTTGACCGCCGCTAGCTTTTTTCCAGCCTGACCCTATATCCGCTAACATTGCTCGTCGAGGGAGGCGATGGCTTGGCATACGTAACACATGTCCTAACCATCTCAGTCTTTGTAGCTTCACGACTTCGTCGATTGATTTCCCCTGTTTACCTAGAACTCGACGCCTAACTTCAATGCTGCTCACCTTATTATGCCACTTTACACGGGAAATAGAGCGCAGGCACCTATGATCAAAGACAGCTAGTCTTTTCATGTCTTCCACTCCGCTCCGTCCTTCTCTATGGCTCTGAAACATGGCCAATACGAGTTGAAGACATGAAAAGGTTGACTGCTTTCGATCATAGATGTCTGCGATCTCTTTCTCACTTTAGGTGGTTTAATAAGGTAACTAATGCTGACGTTAGGCGTAGAGTGTTGGGCAAAGAGGGAAAATCAATCGACGAGGCTATAAAGTTACATAGATTGAGATGACTAGGTGACGTGCTGCGCATGCCTAACAATCGTCTCCCCCGACGGGCATTACTAGCTGATATAGTTGCAGGTTGGAAAAGAGTGGGTGGTGGCCAAACAAAAACATGGCCTCATCAATCCATGAAACCCTTGACAGTTAAACCGAGTCGTCAGGTAGGGAGATGCAGACTTCCGGGTTGGGGCCCTTGGGACTCTAGGAATCAATGGCTGGAGACAATAGGTGACATGGCTCAAAATCGTTGTCAATGGCCAGCGCAGATGTATTCAGTCTCTGTAATCTTTCATATTCCTTTCTACCATTACCCCTTCTGTTTCACTCTTATACTTGTGAAACTCTATTAATTCTCTCCACTCATCTTCTTGTCTACCTTTGTGTGCTATTTGGAACGTGGCAACTGGAACTGCTGCACTTCGGTGCCAAGTTCTATGTTGAATCCAGACAGACAGACAGATGGATGGTCAAAGTTTACTTTTTTGGTCATCAACAGTTTGTCACAAGTAAATAAGTCTTTGAACCATGTAGAAGCTCTTATTTGACATTAGTACGGAGAAATAATGATTAAAATGGTTTTTACAAAGTTAAAAAGATGTTTGTTTGAGGCAGTAGGTTAAGTGAAATTATTTACCACTGTAGCACATACACACAGTAGTGAAGTCTTGAGACCATTAGTAGAGCTCTTCGGATAAACGCTTTGGTAATAAGTGGTCATCTCGACATCTGGCTATTTATTCTAAAAGAGTTAATGTACATAGTTTCGAAAGCTGCTAGTCGTAAATTTCACGTACTTGGTCCAGTATTGAGGTTATGCATCGGTCGAGTGCTAGGCAAGGAGAGAAAATCAATCGATGAGGTTGTGAAGTTACACCGATTGAGATGGTTAGGGCATGTATTACGCATACCTAGCTACCCCCTTCCTCGACAGACGGACAATATTAGATCAAGTTAGAAAGGAGGTAGCACGTGTTGGTCAAACCAGAACATGACTTCATCAGTTAATGAAATCCACAACAGTTATTTTGAGCCAGCCAGTCACGTTGGGAGGTGTAGACTTCCTGACTAGTTGGGGTCCTTGAGATGGGAAAAACCAATGAAGGCTGAAGACAACTAGTAATGTGGCTCAAAATCGCTCTCATTGACAGCGCAAATGCATTCACTTTTTGTGATTTGTCATATCCAATCAAACTCTATTGTTTTTCCATATTACTGTTCTTTTTGCCTCATATTTCCATCTGTTATCTATCTTTTGACTCTGTCTTTACTCTCTTCTCTTGCCTTGTGTGCTATATGGAGTGTGGCAACTCGAAGTGCTGCTGCGCACATCTGTGCAGAGCTCTACGTTGAAAGCAGACAGTCATCGTTTTTTTGCCCTGTGTTCATTGTACCTGGGAGAGTAAACAGGATACCTGAGAATATTACCAAAAGTGGTGGTTGACTCTGTGTAGATGTGCACATTACACACACACACGCACACACAAATTAGGGAACATCGAGTTGAAAAACACAGATTTATCTTACAAAGTGCGATATGGAAGAAAAGTACAGATAACCACGTGTAAATGTGTTTTATCCAAAAAAGATAACACCGAGGCACATTTTTCAGTGGCCTGTAACGTGTATTAGATGTTCTGAGAATCTGATGGTTTGACCAGAACGCCTCTCTTACTGTGTCTCCACTGAATCTTCTGTTTCTGAAAGTATTGATTTTACTTGATACTAACGCAGATTCTTTCGGTTGAGTATTATGTTTATGGCGTTACCCTCTATAGATGCTGATTTCAAATGATCTACAGTAATGAACTCTTTGTGTCCATTTTAATTTTGAGCGTAGAATTTGTCTGTATGTCTTATAATTCTGTACTATGAATCGTATTGCACTCCCCAATGGATGGTGTGTATGTGTAGCGTCATAGTAGATGAAAGCGTCAATGAAGACGCTTTTAAACATGAGGGAACGAAAAAAAATGGGTGGACTGCAGTCGGATGCGACCAAGATTGACTGAATGCAACATGTTTACAAGTCTAATTTCTTATTGTGGTTGGTCGATAAGCGGGAAAAATTAGCGGGTGAAACAAACTCGCCTACTAACTTTAGGCTTGTTCCGTATACTATTCTTGCAGGGGGACATTCAGAACCAGCTTTGAACGCGTTTCTGATGCCGAAAAGGACAGTTTAGTGGCTAACTTGGTTGATTGAAGCTAACAGTCCAATGTTCAAGCGTCAGTGGAAGCATCCCACCATTCCTTTTATTTAAAGATGGTAGACTATTGCTCTGAAGTATGTGGAATCACTAAATTTTGTTAAGACCAGTTATAAAAGCTTTCGATTACATTCATATAGGTCTGGTTAGACTCCTTTCAGAATCCCATAGTTATACTTATATCTTCACTTGTGTTGATCATCATGTTTAATGTCCAAAAGCAGTAGTCACCAAGAAGCTATCTGCTAAAACAGTAACTGATGTTTTTAGAAGAAAGATAGATTGCTAACTTCGGATATACGCTGTTCTCCATGGTAACAAATAGCGAGCTGCCCAAACCTCAGTAGGTGGAGAGTACGTTGGTTGGAAGTCGAGTGTCCGGACTAGTGAGAGGTACACACCATGGAGATTTTTAATCTACATCAAAAGTATCTTCCCTATTATTTCAGAATATTAGCACATAAGTGATATAATTTAGTAAATGGTGACTAGCAGCGGAATCTAGGATGCGCATTTCGTCCTTCCCGGGCCTCTTCATCTGGACTTGCCCATCGTTTCCAACGACAGGGCATTATCCACTAGACCACTTTGGTGAGTCCACTCAACTAACAGGAAAGTCAAAATTGAGTCAAAAACAAATAATAACTGACTGCTTTTGCACAAGAGATGGTTCTCTTGGGTTCCAGTCTCCGTGGAAACATCACCACTCACTGGGGAATGTGGGTACACCTGCCTGATAAGTTTCTAGATAGGATGAAATGCAAGTCATCACCCACCATATTACTCTCTGAGTCACATAATTTGTTTAGACTTCTGTAGGTCTCTTCATCTCTGTATATATGCGCGCACAGCTGTATGTCGTGATTTTATTTATTTATTTTTGCTTTCTTTATAGATTGCACAAATCTGGACAAATTGGTGTAATGGTAGTACAGGTCAATTGTCAGCCATCACGTTGTGTTTGTTTGCGCTAGGCTCAACTGCACGTGTATTCACATCAATTCAAGAGACTGGAGACAGACTGTTAGTTGTATCGTGTATTTTAGCCACTGTATGTAACTACATACTAGTGGGACAGCTATTCTACTATTGGAATACGCCAATCACCACCAATGTTACAAGGAGGTCTTCTAGTCAAGGGGCTAGTAGCAGCAGCAGTGGTAGGAGTGATCAGTCATCAGGACGAAAAATACAAAAGGATAAGACAAATTAAATCTATACTGTGATGATAATGATAATAATATTGTTGTTTTCAAAATGTACAGGTGTTACCTTGCTTGCCTATACATTTCTCTTTCTGTGTGTGTGTGTGTGTGCGTTTATGTTGCTCATGACAAAATACATATTTAACATTCGTTAATGTAATCACAATGTTTCTTTTTAACCTTGTCAGGGATTACATATTAGACTGTCATAAAGACCGACTTAAGTGGCTTTAAGATTGACACATGATGAGTGATACATTTGGTGTGTGGCTACCCAAAACAGAAAGAGCATTAGTGTTGTGTGACCACACCGCCCAGAGGACAACTGCTTGAGGTCGCGGTCATACACGGTCTGTTTAAAGTGGTTTTTAGGAGTGTCATCAGTATTGAGATTTTGCCACCGCAAAAGTAAGTGGGGATGTGCTATTTTTGGGGTCGATTCTTTTTCTTACCCGCCACCGTCTCTTGAGTGGAGTAGCAGCACTTTTTTAATATGCTGGTCCAGTGAAAGAAACACCTTATTACTGTTATATCTCTATTCGCTAAAAGTACGACTTCGCACACAGACTCCTAAAATAGTGTAGACGACCAACACTATGATGGTAACTGCCTTTTGTATCACTGCTATCCAGATAACCTTTGTGGTGTGATAGGACTTTCAGGAAAATTACCTCACGTTAGTGTAGCTCGTTGGCTCACTTATCGCTTCAAGCAGCAAACTTTTATGTATTGAGCCATCTCTTGTGCAAGAAGTATCATTTGTTATGTGTTGAGCTTATTATTTTCGTATTTCCTCTTTTATTGATCTTACGAGACTGAAATATTCGGTCTGTGTTGATGTTATGCCGATACTAAAATAAATAACCCCGTTGCCAATTTGTTATAAGTTTGTCGCGGAATATGATATGATCTCGTTGACAACCGCTGATATGCAAGGATACACTTATTCATCCGTTGTACCTTCGGCGGTCTGGTCTGTGACTGTTAGGATATCCATTTTATTAGAGAATGCACGTCATATTTATATATTTCTTAACCACATTGAAATTGGCTTAGGGCACAGTGGAAATTGGCTGTTCTGATTGGTAGGCGATTCGGCTAGGTCGGCGAAAAATAAATATTCTGATTGGCTGGTTGATAAATTGACCAAGACCAAGGTAAGAAACAGATGATGAAATTTTTTTAGTCGTCTGATCAGACGATAAATCACAGGATGTATAATACGATGATTACTGATTTAAAGCGATTTCTGTCAGTTGTGATATATCAGCTCCCAGTACGTAGGCTCCTAGGCCAATGTCTTGGAGTTAACAAGATGTCATTTGGTTAACTTGAAATGATCGTTCTCACAAATAACTTTTATATAACTATGGTAACACTAGATGTTAATTTAGTTGCTAGAATTAACTATTCAGGCTATACAGTTGTGCACAATGCTTTTATGCAAGTTTAATTTATAACAACACATTTAAGCGAACAGCATTGTGTTTTCAATTAAATCTCATCAGGCTTAACTATAATGTATAATTTTACAAATAAAATACAAATATAAACCAATCATGGTGTTTTGTCTATAGGATAATAAGATGGTGCATATAAATTGTGCAATTAGTCATAATAATAATATTATTAATAATAGTGGTTTTGTCAATAATAAGGATGAAAAAGTGAGGCAATCTGTGATAACACGAATAATGAAAAACAGCATGATTAAACAAACAAATGTTCAGGTAGAAGTAGTCGATAAAGGCTAAGAAAAACAAATGAACCGATTACGTAATGTTAGATTGTAAGGGGAGTAAATGAAACACGTTTTTAATGAAGATGTGATAAGATTAAGGGATGATAAGAAAGGGGTTGAAAATATAAACAAGGGGTGGTGTAGAAGTCATTAGTTGGTTATGTCTTAATAGGCCAAAGGAGGGATAATGGCTGTACGAACTTCTTTTGAATGCATAGTTTAGGTTTAATAGTTCGAATGCCTATCGCCTGCCTCAGCTGTGTGTGTGCAGTAGATGAATACGAAGTCTATTAGAAAGATTCGGTGGGATACGATGAATTACTTTGAAAGCGCTCGTTTTCTCCACTACATGACCACTATCAACTAAATGTGACAAAATTGAGCTACGGATTGTTTTTGTCTGTCCTTTGCCAAACCACGATGGGAGATGTTCACTAACACGTTGGCTAAGCTGTCTAGTAGTACGCCCATAACTGTCACCGCAGGTGTAGTTGAATTGATAAATGCACATATATGTGGCAAAACTATCTAGTTCATCCTTCGTTTGCGTCCCAATCATTCATCGGCTAGAGAATGACAAACATAGGTATGCTGCGCAAAACGTTCTCCGTATACTCCTGGAAAGTCTCTGGAATTAAAGCTCACTTGATAAGTCACCATTAAATTGTAACTTAATAAATAGAGGTTTTTTACGTGCAGTCAGAGTCTCAGGTTTTCTCTCTGATGTTTTCATATGTTTCTTTATGAAACTACTCGGATAGCCCATCTCCATCAAGGAATCGTGAATATATTCAAATTCCTTTTGTAAGAGGTCATCCGTACATATCTTTCTTGCTCTGCTCGTAAGAACTTTAACAACATTCCTCTTATATTTAATGGGCACGTAACTAAGGAAGTGAATGTATTGTGCTGTGAATGTGCTTTTTCTATACACGCTTCTCCCAAGTGATCCATCTTCTCGCCTACTTAGCAAGACATCCAGAAAACGTAGTTTATTCTCTTGCTCCTCTTCACAAGTAAAAGTAAGTGAAGGGTGGACGTTGTTGAATTTCAGCAACAATTCGTCTATGTTAACATTCCCATCAGCTAAGATAAATGTATCATCGACATATCGGTAATACATATCAAACTCCTTGATGATGTCCTTCAATTTCCCGTTTTCAAGTTTTGCGAGAAAGAAGTCAGCTAATATTGGGCCTAATGGTGAACCCATAACTATTCCATCAACTTGTTGGTAGTAAGAATTATTGAAGACAAAGTGAACATTCATTGTGCATTTGAGAAGTAATTCTTTGAGGCTACACAAGGGGATTCCCAAGTTCAATTGTCTTTCGGTGATTTCTTGACAAATGCAATCTACTGTCTCCATAAGCGGTATATTAGTGAATAGTGATGATACATCCATGGACAACATGCGTTTATACCTCACATTAGTTTAATTTATTACAAGGTTTCCAGTGATTCTTGTTTTAATTATTTAGTTTTTGATTAAGGCGTCTATAGGTGTGGGGAGGGTGTTCACCTAGGAATTGTACACTACTTTTTTGAGCCTGTTCTCGATAGATAGCTGTTACCTTGACTTAGTGGTCGGGTTTGCATGTCTCAACGAGCTACACTGGCTGGAATTGCTGTTTCTGCAGGTTCTGCTATACCAGAAATGCCGTTAGACTAAAATCGGTTAGTTATTTGTAGTGTAGGTTGCTTACATTATATTGGGTTTCTGAGGGTGAAGTCGTACTGCTCGCCAATAAGGATAAAACAGCAGTAAAGTGTTCCCCTCGGGAAATCAGCTATTCCACTTTTCTATTCTGGAGACCAGGGGTGGTAGGAAGGGTCGACCGCGAAAATTGTACATTTCACCTTACCATGCATTGGTAAGGTTTTCATACGGACATAACTGAGAGAATGGCCTCAAATGGGCCGTGTGTGACTGTCCTCCAAAAAGTTATCCCCTGGGCTGTCCGATCAAGCAACACTAATGCTTTTTTTAGGTCAGTTACAGTCCTAGGCATTTCAAGCAACATTTCGGTACACTCGACGAATTGAAACCCTAGGATACGCTCCCACCAAAACTTTATGGTTCACTGAAAGTCCACTAACTTGGTGGACCACTACGTCCCATCCTAAATATATGTCAATCTTCCTATCTTTTTACAGCGAAATGGTTGGTAAAGGCATTGGAACCTTTACATCGTGAACTAGTGAAATTCGATATTAGAGACGTATTTAGCTTTGTAGAAACTACCAAGAGCCTGAACGTAAAGGGAAAGAAAATGATGTGACTGGATGTCGCATCATTATTCACCGACATCCCATTTCTCGAAACAGTCAACTACTTATGTGACCAACTGACAGAACGAGAGTTAGGTGTAGAAATCCTATTGGAAAAAGTCAAAGAATGACTATTGAAATGCACTATGAATGTCCAGCTTATGCTTAACAATGACTTTTAGAGACAAGTTGGGGGTGTTGCCATGACGTTACCTCTGGGCCCTATGCTAGTGTATAATTTCCTGGCAAAGCTTAAAAACGGTCCACTCAAAGACATGATCAAGGGGCTTGGCTATTGTTGTCAATATGTAAATGATACCCTCATTGTTTGTGATAGGAATCTTAATAAATAAGAGCTTCTGAATTCTGTTAATAGTTTTCACCCAGCTATTCAGTTTGCATGTGAGGAAGAAAATAACACTATATTTTTCCTAGACGTCCTCCTCACGATGAAGACAGACGGATATCTGTGAAGGAACCTATTTAGAAAGAAGACTTGGACGAGTCAGGGCACCCGTTTTCACATCCCCCCACCGATTCAATACAAAAGAAAGTTAAGTGTCTTAGTTTTAAAATAAAACGCATATGTTCAGAGGAATGCATTAAGGAAGAAATGTATAAAAACTGAACATTACACTACAAGAAAATGGATATCCAGAGAACTTCTTAAAAAAAGTATATGTCGATACCTAGAGATAGGGTAACGGTCAATAACGTAGGTATGGAACCTTTGTATCTTAAGTAAAGTTACAAAGGATAAATTGCAGCTGACATTCTAAAATGTCTACTTAACAGATTAGTAGAGACAACATTTCCTGCAGCTGAACTGGTACTGAGCTTCTCATCTAAACCAGTACTCAGACAACGAGTCAACGGTAAATGATCAAAAATGGTCTCACCAATGCGTATCTATAAATTCAACTGTTCATGTGGAGCTAGTTACATTGGCCGTACTCAGAAGGCTTTATCCATGCGCGCGCGTGAACATGTACCATATATGGTTGAGTAAAGGTGTAACCAAACGCGTCGGTAGTGTGCAGTCTTAGCCCAATTGGTAGATACTGAACACTAGATAAATCGAGCAGGCATTCTCAGTTATTTACGGCGTTCCTGGTAATCTATTTAGAGGAGCTCAACTACGTCTTCTATCCGTAGCTGAAGCGGTAGCAATCAATACCAGAAGACCGGCTTTTTATATACAGAAAAAGTATGTCCAACCGCCATGTTTATCTTGGCCTAGAAGAAGAAGGCCAACGAATCCTCCATAAACATTAGCAACTGAAATTCCTATCACAATGTTTCTTTTCCTGTTTCGTTGACAAACGTTCATGTCTAACCTTTTACGACTTCACGACCTTTCTTCTTATGATTTCTATTACCTCAGGTTTAAGTATTGC